TCATGTATCTTGGTTAGCATGGCAATCATGTTAGCAACTCTGATTTAGTTTTCTGAATTGTAGAGTCTTTTACTTCAAGGATTAAGATTTCTGTTGGTTGTATATCTCCTTACAAGGCTTAAGTTCTTGCGATTCAACAAAAACTTGGACAGAAGTATAGCACAGATGTCAACAGTCACTTCTCAGTGAATGTATGCTCTGTTGATGGTTTTCAAGGTGGTGAAGAGGATGTGATAATTATATCCACTGTTCGTTCCAATGGGAGTGGATCAGTGGGTTTCCTTTCTAATCGTCAGAGAGCTAATGCAGCACTGACTCAAGCAAGGTACACTACTTTTCTAGACTACAATATTACATGTTAAATATTTTTTAAATGTTAGAAATGATTATAATTGTCTATTCTTATCTCAAAGTTGTTTTTGAATGAAAAGATAATGGATGACCATGTTCATATTTGCTTCCTTGGTTTTGTATGCAGATACCGTCTTTGGGTATTAGGAAATGCGACAACTTTGGTTAAAAGTGGTTCCATTTGGAAACAATTAGTCATCGACTCCAGGGCTCGGGGTTGTTTCTTTGATGTTAATGAAGACAATAGTTTGACTCAAGCTATTGTGAGTGCTACCATTGATTTTGGACAGATTGAGAATTACTCAGCATGGACTCTCCTCTATTCAAAACAGCCAAGTGGAAGGTGTGCTGCTTCATCTCGCTTATAATGGATGTTAAAGTTTCTTTCCTCAAGTCAATTTTGTCTTTTGAAAAATAATTTAAAGGCCTTACCATAAACCCCTAAGCATATGGTAGCAACTAAGCCCCATACCAGAAGGTGGACGTCTCGATCTGAACCAGCCTTGTGTACCAAAATACATCAAGAAGGTAGCATGTTGAATTAGAATGTCCTTAATTGAGGAAGTTGTGTAAATCATTGGTGAAAATCATTTTTCACATGATTGTTTCTTGAAATTTGATGGCCAAAAAAACAGATTTGCTGAATTTTATTTTGCTAGTAAGCCGTTTATATCAAAACTACTACTGGTGCTTGCTAGTCTTTCTTTTGAATGCTTGTTCTATTATTTTGTTTTTTCTTACCACTAGTATTAGCACTATTCTCATAATATCTTGTTCTTCCATTTCGGTTATCACCTTCTTTTTTTTTGCTTCGTCTATCGCATTATTTCATTGTCGTTACTGTTCTTCTTATTTTGTATGTTGTGTACTGCTCTCCATTTCACATTGTTTTGTTGTTGTTACTGCTCTCCTCTGTATTCCCTTTTTTAAACTGTTTGGAAATAATTTATTTAAGCCAAGGGTCTATCAGAAGCAGCCTCTCTATTTCTACGAGGTAGAGGTAAGGTCTGCTACCTTACTAGCCCACTTGTGGGATTACATTGGGTATGTTGTTATTATTTTGGCTCTGTTATTTCGTTTGCAATTTGGAGAAATAACAGATTCCCTGCTGTTATAAACTAACAGATTCTCTTCGGTGAGAATTTCTCAAAATCTATGGCCAGAATTAAGGATGCCGAGATCTGTAAAGAAGTGATCTCACTTTTTGTGAAACTTTCAAGTGGTTGGCGCACATCAGAAAAGCACAGCATCCTCAGCTACAGTAATGGGAATTCATCTGAACTATTGGAGATATACAGTGTCAGGCACCTTAAGTTAATTTGGACCATAGATGTTCTGTTAGAGAATTCCATATACTCCAAGTACTAAGAATCTGGGATATCTTACCAGTATTTCAAATACCAAACTTGGTAAAGGACCTTGACATCCATTTTGGTAACTATGCCGCGTACATGATGAATCTTTTGCAAATGCAAGCATGTGGAGCGGTACAGACTCATCTTAGTTCTTCCTCTCATCTGAATTGCTATCTTTGTATGTTCATAAAAATATCAACAGTTTGGGATCATTGAAGTGCTGACTTCACTAGTTCTTTTTCTGTAGAAATTTTATACTTTCAATGACTTGGCCAATTGATGGAAATTATGCCTCAAAAATTAGCTCAACACAGAGTGTATCAGACCAGAACTTGGCGTGTCAACCGGTAGCTATGTGTTTGAGGTACAAACCAGGATCTTCAAAATGTACTGAGTGAGTCTAGGTGTATACTAGAGGGTTCTTCTATAAGGGAAAATACTTCATCATGATTAAGACAACAGAAGTTTCTGGTTTACACTTGCTTTTTAGTGTGTATTTTTACAATAATGTGATTTTCTATTTATGTTTTAGCACAGATGATCTGTATAGCTACCAACGATGATTTTCCTTTTACATATCAGACTAATCTAGTTACTATCTTTGGATTGTTACCAGTAATTTTCAGGAACCCCAAGAATGGTTAGAGCATCCTGCTGAAGATTTTTGTAGAGTGTCTTGAACATAACAAGTTCTAATAGGAGACCTTGAAGGTACTGCATAACGTAGGTAAATTATCAAAAGAGGTTATATACAATGGAATGAAGCTACGGTCATACTGGCATGAACATGTTTGTACAGGTATTCTTGTTGCGAGTGTTTTAGCATTCTATTTTCCTCTAGTAGTTCTGAAAAACTTCTGATCTTAATACAGCAAACGCCTGATCATGACTATCTGTTCTGTACAGTTTGTGACACTGACTGCTTGGAAAGCTAGGTGTTGCGTGGAAATGAGGTCTATTTTTGCTCGTTTTGGTGCGTTTTCTGTGTAACTACAGCACTAGTTGGTTGCTACTTTTTGTATTCAAGTATTGTAGCACCTAATCTTCTAGTTGCTCTTTTTGTTTTCATGTTCTTTCCCCTGGTGTTTGATTAGAGTTTTTCAGCTATGGCAAGCATAATACTTCCTAACTGCACATAAAAAGAGGACAATTAACTATACATCCTATATAATGTCTGAATAAGTAATGTAATTTTGAGTTATACTGGAAACTTAACACAACAGTTTCAAAACAAAACCATCCAGCTCTTCAAAATACCAAAGATAATAGAAATGCAACTCTTAAGATCTTAAGCAATTCTAAATATATTGTAATAGGTTTTGTTGCTAAAAAGGTTAAGTCAACAATGGATTTATGATGGAAGTATGCATTGGATTGAGACTTTACCAATAGTCAAAAGCTCATTTGCATTGTGAAATAAGCAAATTTCACAACCATCTTCGTCAAATCGACTCACCTCAATTGCAAGCTTGTTTGAGTCCAGAGGCGTATGTACATGAAGGGGAGGGGGTTCATATGCACCCATCCTCCCCTTCCTAACCCCTATATAATACTACTATTTTTCTAATTATCTTTTTAAATTTGTATTGGTGAACCCAAGGTTAAAAAGAATACTCTAGTATATTGATAAGTACAAATAGGGGGTGCATAACTTATAGATTTGTGGTTCAAATTTTTCTATCCACATTAATATTTTTAATTTTTAATTAATATAACAAAATGTGCCACTTTTCATAGATCTTTTTAATAATTTATAAATAAAAAGAGGTTCAAATACCCATATCTTTAGAGTGCATTAGCTATGTCTAGACCTTAAGCTAGAAGTGTTAATAAAGTCAAATTATATTTTTTACTTTCTTTTTCTCCTTTCCTTCTTTATTTAGACGTTTTTCTTATTTATTTATTTTAACTTTTTCTTTTGATTTTTCAAAGCCCTAAACTAAAAGGTAAAAAGGAGTAAAGACATCATATATTCATATTGTTCTTCTTTTGGCTTCCTTCCACATTTCCACTTTGTTGTTCATGGTGAAGTAGAAGTGAGATTTGAGAACAAGTAACAAGGTATGTTATCTAAAAAAAAAAATTATTTATTAATGTACTTCATTTGTTTTATATGTTTTTCTTGATTTATGAAGTGGTTCCATTATTTGATTGCTTGAATATTTAAATTTATAAGAATTTCTTGATTTCTAAATAGTTATCTAATAATTGTGATTCTTTTATTAGTAAACTTGTTATTTGTGCTAATATTTTTTTTAAATTATTTTGTTTTTATAAGATTGAATAGAAGTGTGAATATTTAATTTTGTAGGTAAAATAATTCTTACAATCAATTCATCAAATCACAAATGGATAAGTTTCTCATCAAGTTACCAAAGCCTAAAGATGGCCAACCAAGTTCTAGCTCTAATCAACCATTTGTGAGTTCACAAGTTGCTCCGGAAGTTCAAAGACATACAAATTCTTTTCCACTTTCAAATATGGATAATATGCTTGATTTTAAATCTCTTGAAGTAGATCCCAAAGATCGAATGCCTATTTCATCTTATGGTCCTAATATTCGAGATGAGGTAAGGAGGTATTACATTCAAAAAAAGCCATGTCAACCTGTTGATCATATCTTCCTTAAAACTAAGTTAGGAGATAAAATGCGTCAATTTTGACCAACTTGGTTTAAGAGAAGATCTCAATGGTTGGAATATAGCATTAAAGCAGACGCGGCATTTTGTTTGTGTTGTTATTTGTTCAAGAATGAACTTGAAAGTCGTGGAAATGCCGGAGATTCATTTACAAGAGATGGTTTTAGGTGTTGGAACAAAGCTTTAGAAAGATTCAAAAAACATGTTGGTAAGGTAAATAGTATCCATCATAAATGTTTCAATAGGATGCAAGATTTGAAAAACCAACGACAATCGATCCAATCTTCTTTACACAAGCAAAGTGAAAAGGCAAGAAGTGATTATCGGATGCGTTTAAATGCCTCAATTGATGTAGCAAGATTTCTCTTGGCATCGGGATTTCCATTTTGTGGACATGATGAAAGTGAAGGTTCCGAATATAAGGGTGCTTTTCTTGAACTTTTGAAATGGTATGGGGATAGAAGTTTTGATGTGGAAAGAGTAATATTAGGTAATGCTCCACAAAATGATATGATGATTTGTCCGACAATTCAAAAAGATATTGTGGAGGATTGTGCTAAAGAAACAACTAAAGCTATCATTGAAGACTTGGACAGTGATTATTTTGGAATATTAGTTGATAATCAAATTAAAGGATGTTTCTCATAAGGAGCAAATGGCTCTAATTTTGAGATATGTCAACAAAAGTGGAATGGTGATAGAGCGATTTTTGGGTATTGTCCACGTAAATGATACATCTTCTCAATCATTAAAAAAGGCAATTTATTCTTTGCTTTTGGATCACTCATTATGTACATCCAAAATACGTGGTCAAGGTTATGATGGGGCTAGTAATATGCAAGGGGAAATAAATGGTCTCAAGTATTTGATTTTACAAGATACGTCATTTGCATATTCTATTCACTGTTTTGCTCACCAATTGCAAGTGGCACTTGTAGGTCTTTCCAAAGAGAATTCGGATGTGAATAATTTTTTTTATGCTCTCACTAATATTTTGAATACTATTGGAGCTTCATTTAAACGCAGAGATTCACTTCGACAACATCAAGAAGATAAGTTGGAAGAGTTGCTTAAATTTGGAGAAGTTCATGCAGGGCAAGGTTTGAATCAAGAACGTGGCCTCCAACGACCGGGTGATACTCGTTGGGGGTCTCATTTTAAAACCTTGGACAATTTCCTGATTCTTTTTTCTTCAATTGTTAATGTGCTTAAGGATATGAAACGTGATTGTCCATATCATCTTGATAGATTTGCGGCGGAAAATCTTTTGAGCAAGATTCATGAATTTGAATTTGTCTTTATGTTGCACTTGATGTTTAAGGTGTTGCTATTGACGAATTAGTTGATTAAAGTTTTACAAAAGAAAGATCAAGATATCGTTAATGCTATGGGATTGTTTGACCTTTCAAAGAAACGATTGCAAATGATGAGAGAGGATGAATGGGACTCTATGATGGATGAGGTTAGCTTATTTTGTGGTAAACATGGAATTTCAATTCCCAAAATGAATGAAGACTACTCTAATGGGAAGTCGAAGCGTAAGAGGTCCAATATTTCATATTTGCATCACTTTCGTGTGGAAGTTATTTTATGCCGTCATTGATTTGGCACTTCAAGAACTCAATAATCGTTTTGATGTGGTGACTAGTGACTTGCTCTTCGGTATGGCTAGTTTGAGTCCGGTTGATTCATTTGCTAATTTTCACAAGGATAAGATAATGAAACTAGCTGAGTACTACCCAAGTGAGTTTGGTGATAAAGAGCTTCGGGAACTCAATTTTCAACTTGATGATTTTATTGTCTATGCTCAAAAGTGTGATAGCAAGTTTCTCAACTTGAAGGGAATCAAGGATCTTGCAAAAGTGATGATAGAGACAAAACTAGATCAAACTTGGTCACTTGTGTATCTACTTGTGAAGCTAACTTTGATTATTCATGTTGCTACCGCAACCGTGGAAAGAGCATTCTCATCAATGAAGTACATAAAGAATGATTTGTGTAATATGATGGATGAAGATCTTTTGAATGGTTGTTTAGTTTGCTATATAGAGCGTAGTATATTTAAAAATGTAAGTAATGATGCCATTACTGACCGTTTTCAAAATATGAAAACTCGTCGAGGACAATTGTAAGTGAATGATGTTTTTTGCTAATATATTACTATATAAAGATTGCTACTACCTACTTGCTCGTCAACTTGTTCTCATCGTAAAATTTATATAATTGAATTAATTGTATATTTTGAAGATAATGGTGCCCCCATGTTCTTGAGATCCTGGATACACCTTTGTTTGAGTCTGGTTATATTTGAGTTGGCTATATGGATATTCTATATAGGTATAGCACAGAGGAGTTATTAAACTATTTTAAAGCTTGATTGTCAACTAACTACACTCATTCTCCTTTTTACAGCCTTTTATAATTTCATGTAATTTTTTGATAATGCTCAAATTACTCACAAAAATGATTAAATGAGTAAGCGATCGCTAGCAATATAAATACCCAACAAAAGAGTCGGGATTGAATTTCATAGAGAGTGATCTAAATGTAAGAATTAAATAAGAAAATTAAAAGTGCAAACCAATTCATCGTAGCAATTAAGACAAATGGGTGGATGATTCCACCAAATTTATTATAAGGGTTGAGTAATCAATTATCAAAATTCAACTAAAAACAAAAATTTAAATAAATTAGAGACGATCTAGTGGTATGGGAGTTGGTATCAACATCAAGTAGGGGAACAAGTACTTGCTCAACAATGCTAAACAAACATGGATAAGCTAGGTAATCGTCAATGACACAAATCTTCTTTAGATCTCGAAACATCATATTATAGAATCTCCTTTAGGTCTCATCTATGTAAAATACAAATCAACTCAGTACCTTGCTAAAATCTCTTTTTTCAAGCAAAATTGGCAATTAGAATTGAACTACAATTTCTCTTTCGAGCAAACTGCAACAATCTAACTCAATTTGCAAGTGTTAAACTATTTATCCACTTCAATCAGTCTCTTTCGAGCATCAATCGAAGATCTAAGATAAGATTAACTTTGAAGCTTTAACCCATAAATCAATCCCATATAAATAGCTCAAATTCATGAATGGAAAACAGAAAAATAGAGCAAGACACTAGACCCACTAAATCAAATCAATACACAACTCCATAATCACACCACTAGAATTGGGGTTTTAGCCAAGCATCATAAAAGTAAAAGAAATTATACCAATTATGTTTTCAGCCATTAAGGAGTTGAGAATCAACAATAAGCTTCAACACTCACTTCAAATTGAACCCTCAAGTGTCAATTACAAGATTGTTCAAAAACCCTAAAGACTAAGAGAAAAGTTAAAGGATCTATTTATCCATATCAAAAAGTTGAAAAGTTCAAAAACTATATTCAATATTCGATACTTTTCTCTCTCCTTTGAGCTATTTATAATTTCTCCAAAAATTAGTCTGAAATTTCATGCACGACCTGATTGGCAACGTAAGTCGGGCTCACCTAGCATGATCGACAGATCGTCGTTTCTTTTTTAGCTCGCCCTTCTTTTGCTTTAGGTTTCAAGTGTTTAAACCTCAGTTGGCGAACTCAAACGAGTCAACCTTCCACATTCGGCGCATTGCCGAGTACTACCTTGTTCGCCATTCAGCCTTCATTTTAATTCAGAATTCTATCACCTTCGGCGATGGAGCTTTTAGCTCGCCTAACTACTTCGGTGAATTGTCGTTTCCACTTTTCTACAATATCAAAGAAATGGTCAGGACATAACCTGTACACCACATATAACTTCCAAAGTAAAGACATAAGAAAGCAATAAAGGCAACAAGGTCCTCGGAGTATGAGGACTCATCAAGTCTTCAAACCTATAGATTGATCAACTAGCCACGAACGGAGGGAAAGGAGTCGACAAGCCCTACATTAGTGAAACAATGTACACACAAATATGCATTAGTACATGGAATGTACTAAGTATGAGGGATATGCATGAAAACTTAAAACATGATCATAAGGGGACATAGTCGAAAACATGATGTGCATGACCAAGCTAACCATAATAAAAAGCCATTAAAGAATAATCATAATCATGAACATGGTCAATGCATCTAAAAATCACGAGGAAAGCTTCATAAAACATTTGAAAGTAACTTAATTTGTTTTGTGGGATATTTACTAGTAACCGATATAGATCACGTGTGCTATAAAGTGGAATCCAGTGTTTTGCTCCCACACAAAAAGAGTTGTTCCTACTTGCCAAGGCAAAGACCTTAATTTCTAGCTTAGGTGGCTATGTCACTTGAGACAACCTACGGTAGCACATTGTTAGGGATAAGGAGATTGCTACTCGACCTCCACTAACGGAAGAGCCTCCATCTCAATATCCTCTCGGTGCTAAGTAAAATCTGAAGGAATTAGTCATAATCATAAACATAGCACAATTAAGTTACTAATCCAAGCTAAATACATCATAGAATAGCTCTTTAAATCTTGAATCATGCATGAGTGACAAAACTTCTCACCAAATCATGATCCCTTAATGTGAGAAAACCTTTCACAATTGAATTGATGTTAATCTTAAAGAAACTTAGATCATAAAAACTTTCCTTTCATATATTATGCATAAGTTCATGGAAATATCATTCATAACTTCATAGCTTCTTCATAAATTCATGCAAGTAGGGTTTAGAGCCAAAATCATGATCAATGCATGGGTTCATGTGGAATTGATTGGAAATCATGTAATTGAGTCTAGATAATCATAATATGATCAAAATCGAATAATTAAGTGCTTACAAATAAAAACCATGAAGAATTGAATGAAAACCTAATCAATTTATAGAAATTGAATTGGAGAATTTGGAGAAAACATCGAGACTCAATGGGTGAACGGAACCCTCAAATGTCAATGACAAGATTGTTCATAATCCCCCAAAGGCTAAAGGGTTTATTCCTCCATATCATAAAGTTAAAAACTTAAAAAACTAGATTCAATATTCGATACATTTTCTCTCTCCTTTGGGCTATTTATAATTTTTCCAAATATTAGTCTGAAATTCCATGCGCGACATGATCAATGATGTTAGTCGGGCTCGCCTAGCACGATCGGTGGATCACCATATGTTTTTTTATCTCACCATTCCTCTGCTTCAAGCTTTAGGTGCTTGAACCTTAGTTGGCGAACTCAATCGAGTCATCCTTCCACATTTGGTGAATCGTCGACTACCACCTTGTTCAATCATTCACCCTTCATTTTAATTCAAAATTTTGTCACCTTCAGCGATGGAGCTTTTATCTCGCCTAACTACTTCAGCGAATCTCCATTTTCACTTTGCTTCACTAACTTGCCTTATATATTCTCAAACATAAAAAATTTCACTTTAGGTAGGGTACGACCTATTGGGCAATTCGCCCTTTTGGTTAGGTGATCCTCAACTGAGAGTTTACACTCTTTTCAATATTTTTATCTTTTTTTCATAGATTCATCTTTGTCGTGTCCTTTAGCCTTCGTAGATGCAAAATATCAAAATATCATCAAATAACGACATAAATAGGCATTGAGGACACTATTTGTTGAACTAAAAAGGCCTCAAATGAGTTAAAATATCAAACTCATCACTTCTCGTGCTAACTACATGTCCACACCATATCAATGTTGTGTAGAGGTAGAAGGTCCATGAGTCGTGAACTTATTTTCCTAGAGAAGAAGTAAGAATGGTGTTTGGGGAATAAATGTTTGCTAACTTTGTGCTAGCAATCAATTGTGGTAATACATACAGAGTATGCAAGGTTATCCGAAATGATTGAGCATAAAGCGTATATAGGTGATGTTTTAAGCCCGTCATTGAATCTCATGTATTCCCAATGGTTAAATATTCTCAATGTTGTGTGTTTGGTATGATGGAAAGTATTTTCCATGGAAGATGATAACTTTGGTGGGGCTAGTGTTAGAAAAAGAAGTATATCTCATATTGGAGCCTTTCTTCTCATGCATAATTGTAACATATAATTGATTCTACAATTGAATAGTCATAATGATTTTTCTTCTGATAAAACATTGTGTTGACAAACATTAATATCCTATCCTTGAATAGCGTTGATTGGCCATTAATGGAATACAAGGGCTCATAATTGAAAATTGACGTTTTGAGGATTGACAATTTATAGGAGAACTAGATTCACCTATAGAATAGAAACAAGTACAAGCAAGATGATTAAGAGCGTGTTAGGCATTATTGCTAAAAATAACTTATTTTTTAAGGTAATTTTTAAAATGACTTTTCAGAAAAGTACTTTTGAAAAGAAAAAAAGTAATTTGTGTTTGGTTAATTCATTTGAAAAGTATTTTTGATAAGCAGATTGTGTTTGATTAGTTATTTTTAGAAAGGGCTATTGAGTCAAATTATGAAAAAAGACAAGTATCAATGCACTCTTAATATTAAGATTATTTTATAGAGAGAAATTATTTTAAACATCTATTATAAAGTTTTTACGTAAATTCTTATTGTTATAAAATTAAAATGTACATATTCAAATTTTCAATTAATATTATACATAATAAATAAATAAATAAAGTATTGATGTAATATTAACATGATTATTTAAATATAATTAAAAATATCAAGCGAAATAAATTTAAAAATTATTCCACAAATTAAATAACTACATACAAAAAATTCACCACAAAAATAAATCAAGTCACTTTTTTCTTTTTTCCTAATCTTGCAAAAAAGTATTATATATTGTTACATTTTTCTTATCCTGTAAAATAATATGTAAAATAATATATAAATGAAAAATAATAATATATAAATATATAATAAAATTTTAAAAATTATTATATAAAAATAAAAATAAATGTTTTAAGCGAAACATATTCAAACATATGATATATGCTAATTAATTAATAAGAGATCTATCGATAAATATGTAAACAAAATTTTTTAGCTTCTTTCCAACAACTGAAAAAAGTGGTTCTACTTCCATTTAAAAGTAATTTTACTGATTTGTTAACACTTTGATTATTTTTTTTAAAGAGTATTTTTTTCTCGAAATAAGTATTTTTGATCTCCCAACAACAATGTCAAACCGGCTCTAAATGTTGTAAGTTAAGTACAAGGCGGGCAAGAAGGAAA